TCTCGGCACAGTGACCCGGCTGGGTAGCTGTGCCAAGAGAAGAGGAGAGGAAAGGCCCGGCATGGTGGGAAAGCACATGGCTGATAGACACTTTTGCAGGGATTCTATCAACTGCATGCCTTCCTCTCCTCCCCTCTTAGCAGAGCAATTCAGCTGGGTGGATGTGGCAAAGGAAGACGCCTGCCCTGCCAGGAAGGCACATGGCTGATAGAAGCCCTTTGAAGGGATTATACCCACTGCACACCTTCCTCTCTTCACCAGCTGCACAAAAAACCCTCCCCCTGACACGCCAACCATCCTGGTCTCCCCTCCCTTCCCACCTGGCACACCCTACCCCCTCTAAGCCTGGCTCACCGGCCTCCTTCTGGCCCAGCCCACAACCCCCAAGCTCAAAAATTTGCCCATGCCTGTGTTATATTATAGCATTACTGCATTATAACCAATTCCAATGAAAAACAAGAGGGCAAAATTGGTGCAGTCAAAAATGTGGCAGTCTCTTTTTTTCTCTCTAATGGAGAAAGAAATAAAATGGCAAGGAATGGCATGACCATTTTCTTATGTCAGTCATACAGTTGTACCACCATGATGTCTTTATTACATTTCTGCACTATTCCAACTAGATTAAAAAAAAAGACAAACCATCAATGAAGGGAAGGGCTGGGTATAAGTCAGTAATGCAGACCAAAAATGCTGTGAAAATGTGATTTTGGCAAGTTTGCAATAGAAAGCATCAGTAATTAAATATTCTCATGAGACCAGCTGGAGGGATTTCAAATGGAACAATGCAGCATAAAGGTGTCGTATGATTAGACCATTGGTTCTCANCATAAAATAGCTGACAAGGTATAGAGGCTGGGATCCTATGCACACTTTATGCTGGGAGTCAGTCCTATTAAACTCAGTTGGACATAACTTTAGAATAAAAAACACAGAGAAATGCATTCTGCCACACTAGATTGAATTAGATGATACTGAAATGATTTTTAATTTGAAGGCTTACCAGAAAAACTGGATTTCAGAGTGCTAGACAAAGGGACTGATGTGCCTTAGAGAAAGTAAGGGAAGCCAGTTGTAAGATGGATTGTTTGGTTTCTCAATTTTTAACACTTACATAAATACAAAATTGTTAGATTAATAATATAACATAAGCATAATCCAATTTCATCCCCACATTCACAGACTTACGTAATACCCATGATTTCACATATCCATGCTCCAAAATATATCCCCCTACAAAGTGGTTGTGGGCCTCTCTATGTCTTCCAGTGTACTTCGATGATATGCTTTTGGCCCAAGTTTAGTCCAAATATAGCTTTCATTTTTATCCACACTTTCAGATTTCCATGAGGTGGTGGTTTTGGAATGTATTTCTGTCAGATACAGGGGGCATGCTATACGTACTATTTCTAGTAATTAGGGACAGTGACTGGATACAATTAGTTCATCTACCCAGTAAATAGCAGTGGCTTTCCAGTTTTTTAGGCAATTTCTAACCTTACCTACAAATTCCACTGAAGTATCTGCAAGAGTTAAAACTATGCAGTATTGAACCTTGGATGAGACTGGGGGCCCATCTACACTATAATGCAGACTGAGGACCCTTCTACCATTATAGTGCAGAATTAACTGCATTATATGGTCATATAGAGCAGTACAACACAGTTAAACTACATTATATGAATCTACATCTGGGCTTCTCTAACTATATTCTGCAGAGCCCTTGGGGCTCCATGGGTGATACTGAGAGGCTCCGTAGCGCCATGCTGC